GTGAAGGACAAGCTGGAGCAGGGGGGCTGTGTGCTGGGGGGTGGAGCTGATGAGGTGGGGGGAGGAGTGGGGAGTGGTGAGATGTCTGGGGGAGCGGGGGTGGGGGAGGTGTCGAAGCAGTGTGCCAGGAGTGTAGGTGGGGGGGAAGGTGAAGGTGAGGATGAGGGGGGTTGCAGCCGTGATGTCTGGGCCAGGGGAGGGGCAGACTGATCAAATCTATTGAAGAACAGATTCAGATCATTCACCCACTGCTGGTCACCTCTGGCCTGGGAGTCTGGCTGTTTGTGTCCTGAGATGGTTTTCAGACCTCTCCTGACTCCACTGATGTCTCTCTGCTGCAGCTGTTCCTTCATCTTCTTTTTATATCCTTCCTTTCCCCTCCTGATGTTTCTCCGTAGTTCCTTCTGCACGGCCTTCAGCTCCTCCTTTTTTCCAGAGTTAAAATTTCTCCGCTTCTCCTTCAGGAGAGCTTTTATTTCTGGAGTAATCCAGGGTTTGGTGTTGGAGAAGTAGCTTACAGTCCTGGTGGGTACGGTGCTTTCCACACAGAAGTTTATTTAGTCCGTAATGCATGATGTCATACTGTCAATGTCCTCTCCATGGGAATCTCTGAGTACCTTCCACACAGTGGTCTCGAAGCAGTCTTTCAGGGCCTCCTCGGCCTCCTCAGACCACCTCTTCACAGTGTGGGTGGTTGCTGGTTCTCTCTGCACCAGAGGTCTGTAGACAGGCAGAAGATGAACCAGGTTGTGATCAGCTCTTCCCAGGGGGGGCAGGGGTGTTGAGTGGTATGCCTCCTTGGTGTTGGCATAAAATAAATCCAGTGTTTTATTGTCTCTGGTGTGGCAGGAAACATACTGGTTGAAGGTGGGCAGGGTGGTGGATGGACAGGCGTGGTTGAAGTCCCCAGAGATCAGAAGGAGGGCCTGAGGGTGCTGTGTTTGCAGCCTACTTGTAACAGAGTGGAGAACGTCACAAGCAGACTCAGCTTTAGCAGACGGGGGGACATACACTGCTACAATAATGACATGAGAAAACTCCCTGGGTAGATAATATGGTCTCATGCCAACAGCCAGCAGCTCAATGTCCCTGCAGCAATGCTGTTCCTTGATAGTGATGTGCCCAGAGTTACACCATCTATCATTCACAAACACAGCCAGCCCCCCTCCTTTCCTCTTACTGCTGTCCGCTGTCCTGTCAAGCCTGATGAGCTGGAATCTGTCCAGCACCAGAGTCACCGCCGACAGCTCGTCCATCTTGTTGGGGAGCGATCTTACGTTCCCCATAACGACAGATGGGAGGACAGGTTTGTAACGTCTCCTCTGGTATTGGTGCTGCACTCTGGCGTGACAACCCTGTCACCTTCTCCGCAGCTTGCGGGGAATATCGTGCCTCTCCTTGGGCTGCACCCCCATGGGTCGTAGCGCTAACAGCTGTTCCCGGGTGTAAACAATGGAGCCACGGCTGTATGCCTGATCCCCGCACACGATCGTGTCCATAGAAAAATAGGAGAGAGACAGCTGTGAAGAAAGTGGTCTTCGTCTCCATACCAAAACAAAAGTGCTAACTAGTTAAACTGATAAAAACTCAAAGTAAAAAAGTTAAAAAGAAAAAAAATTGATCTCTCTGACAAAAGCTCAACGGTGAACAGGAGCTGTAACAGGCGTCCGCACTGGGGGCGCCATCTTGTCAAAAAAGCTGTGAGAACTATTGTGACTATTCTGCTTCACAAAATACGATCAGGTCTGTGTTCTGGGCTGTCAGCCACGGCTCCGCCCACAAAACCATAGAACCAAAGTACTGCTGTTCCTCCTCCAGCACCTTAAATCTGGGGAACATCAGAACCTCTAAAACTAAAAGATGGAACTCAGGATACTGTAGCTGCAGGTCCGATCAGAAGCCACCATGGTTCTGCTGATTGCTCAGAGTCTGTTTCCTGTTTTCTCCTGCAGGTGCTGCTGACCCTGAAGAAACCCAGAGAACAAGTGGAGGAACCGTTCCTGGTCTTTCATGTGGCTCAGCTGGGCATCAGCACCAAAGTCAGGAAGTATGACATGTGTGCCACAACCTTCATCAACAAGATCACCATGAGGTGCCTCGAGTTCAAAGGTCAGGAGCTCTGAGAAAGCTTTGTTCTCACATCATGGTGTTCTCTGCAGTGTTCTCTGCAGTGTTCTGTGTAGTGTTCAGTTCAATTCAATTCAATTTTATTTATGAAGCCCAATATCACAAATCACAATTTACCTCACAGGGCTTTACAGTTCTCTGTAGTGTACTGTAGTGTTCTCTGTAGTGTTCTGTAGTGTTCTGTGAAGTGTTCTGTATAGTGTACTGTAGTGTTCTCTGTAGTGTTCTGTAGTGTTCTGTGAAGTGTTCTGTATAGTGTACTGTGGTGTTCTCTGTAGTGTACTGTAGTGTTCTGTAGTGTTCTCTGTATTGTACTGTAGTGTTCTCTGTAGTGTTTTCTGCAGTGTTCCTTGTAGTGTAGTGTAGTGTTCTCTGTAGTGTAGTGTAGTGTAGTGTTCTCTGTAGTGTAGTGTAGTGTAGTGTAGTGTTCTCTGTAGTGTAGTGTAGTGTAGTGTTCTCTGTATTGTAGTGTAGTGTAGTGTCGTGTTCTCTGTATTGTAGTGTAGTCTAGTGTAGTGTAGTGTTCTCTGTAGTGTAGTCTAGTTATTGTAGTGTTCTCTGTAGTGTAGTGTAGTGTAGTGTTCTCTGTAGTGTAGTGTAGTGTAGTGTAGTGTAGTGTTCTCTGTATTGTAGTGTATTGTAGTGTAGTGTCGTGTTCTCTGTATTGTAGTGTAGTCTAGTGTAGTGTAGTGTTCTCTGTAGTGTAGTCTAGTGTAGTGTAGTGTTCTCTGTAGTGTAGTCTAGTGTAGTGTAGTGTAGTCTAGTGTAGTGTAGTGTTCTCTGTATTGTAGTGTAGTCTAGTGTAGTGTAGTGCTCTCTGTAGTGTAGTCTAGTGTAGTGTAGTGTTCTCTGTAGTGTCCTTTAGTGTCTTCTAAAGCAGACACAGCAGTGATGTTGCTGATGACATCATATCCTCTGTTTCAGATTCGAGTGGGGAGCCGCTGTGTCTCATCAGCTCTTCAGTAGAATCTGGAGCCGAACTGCTCAAAGTGCAGTACTTCAAGGTGATGATATCATCAGTTACTTGTTGAGATGTACAGGTGTGATGTCACCCGTACAGGAATGATGTCACCTGCCAAGGCAGAGAATCAAACTGAACTTCTTGTGTGTTTGACTGTTTCTTCAGGCTGACAGGGCGGGGCCTAACTTCTCCACTGTTTATAAAAACACCGAGCAGATGATCAACGTGAGCGACACACACACTCCCTGATCTCCCTTCAGTGACGTACAGAGTTCTTTCTAAGATGGTTCTGAAACGACGGCCTGGTAAAATCACTTGTTCTCTGTCTCCAGGTGACATTCACCTCTCTGGACCTCATGCTCCACACCGAGGCTCTGCTGTCCGCCATGGACTTCCTGTCAGCGGCACTGTCATCTGGCACCATGGCGTCTCCAGAGAGAGATCTCAGACCAAAGACAGAGGACAAGACGGTGTCCACCAAGTCCAGTCAGTACCACTGTCTCCCGTAATGAGCTCCAGTCTCATCCCAGTAAAGCCTCTGTCTCCCAGTATAACCACTGTCTCGTAGTGTAACCTCTGTCTCCCAGTATAAATAGTAGTTACCTGGATGTAACTCCAGTTCTATGAGTATGTGCATAGCCCTCTAACTACGGCCTTCACCTCAAGTCTTAACCAATAGCGAAGCCCGTTAGAGGGCAGAGCACATATGAAATAGAATATGTGTCTCCCAGTATAACTTCTGTCTCATCCTGGTATAACCTTTGTCTCATCCCAGTATAACCACTGCCTCCCAGTATAACCAGTGCATTGTGGGTCTACCAGTCTGACATAAAGTAAATCTTGATGTGTCGACTTGTCTTTAATGTGTCGTGGTTTTGTGATTCCTGTCAGCTGCCTTAGTGTCACCTGCTGACAGTGACATCATTGATCTGAAGGTGATGATGACGCTGGGAGCCTTCAACGTCCTCGTGTGCGACCAGAGCTCCAACATGGCCGATATCAAGATCCAAGGTACCGAGTCAGGACTGAGTTTATGTCCCTTGTTGTCTGTCAACACCTTCGTTAACTGACCCTGTCTGACGTGTCCTTCAGGTATTAACGGCTCTCTGCTGATGCAAGGACCACAGACTCACATATCAGCCCGCCTGAGGGATTTCATCGTCCTCAACGTTGACCCCAAAAGTGTCCACAAGAAGGTCAGTCGGTTGTTTTACTGAGTCAGTGGTAAGTCTCTCGTAGAGACCACCTGATCAGAAACAGACTGAACTGATGTCTGAGTGGTTCTTTAGGACTCGTTATTGATCAGAAATATTTTCATGTGCATTTTCAGTGAAACCATATAACATTCGAGCCGAAAACATCATCACAATATTTATATTGAAGGATTTGGTCAAAAACATTGTGATATTTGATTTTCTCACATCATTGACAGTAAAACTTTCTGAGACTAATCTGGACTACCCCAGATCACCCCAGACTACCTCAGACTTCCCCAGATTACCCCAGACCACCCCAGACTACCTCAGACTACCCCAGATTACCTCAGACTACCCTGGACCCGCTCTGATGTCCTGAGTTATCATGGACTACCCTGGACTGCCCCAGGCTCTTCTGGACTACCCTGTTTGCCATAGATTTACAGAGTGCCCTTAAGGTACAAACCAGGACTACTCTGACACAGTCTGGACTCCCTCAGACTACCCTGGACCCCTGGACTACTTAAGATTACTTCAGATCAGACAAAATACCTCTGACCAGTAAAAATTCCTTCAGACAACCTCTGATCAGTCTTGGTCTGTCATGGACTCCCTCATTCTACCTCGGTCTATCTTGGACTCTGTCAGACTACCTTCGACTACACATACCACCCTGGACTCTAGGACTGCATTTAACTGTCACTGACTACCCAGGACTACCTCAGACTCTCTCTGATCAGCCTTGGTGTACCCTGGACTCCGTTAGACTACCTTGGACTACCACTGACTACCTCTGGCTATCTCTGGTCAGTCTTGGTCTATCCTTGATTCCCTCAATCTGCCTCAGTCTACCCTGGTCTCTTTGAAACTACCATGGACTACAACACACAACCCTGGACTCCAAGACTACATTATGCTACCACTGAGTACCCTGAAGTGCCTCAGACAACTTTGGACTATCTCGGACTGCTTCAGACTATCTCTGATCTGCCTCAGTCTACCCTAGACTCTGTCAAACTACCATGAACTACCGCACACCACCCTGGACTCCAGGACTACATTATACTACCACTGGGTACCCTGGAGTACCTTAGACTGCCCTGGACTCTGTCAAACTCCTCTATATATTGAGACTGTACTGGACCACCCTTTATCACTAGTGTCTCTGTCCTTCAGGCGATTTCTATCATGGGTGATGAGGTGTTTAGCTTCACCATGAGTCTGACTCCTAACGCCACGGAGGGCGCCAGTTACGCCGACACCTCCAAAACTGATGGTAGAGTGAAGCTGAATGTGGGCTGCATCCAGGTGGTTTACCTGCACAAATTCATCATGTCTCTGCTGGTGAGTTCGCTGCAGCTCTGAGAGTTTAAAGGTTTGTTTGTAATTAACGAGGTTGTTTCAGTTTGTAGTTCGTGTCCGTCCCCGTCAGGTCAGAATGAATTTATTGGACTTAATCTCCACAGGTGTGACATGTCTCAGATTATCACAGAGTCAGTTTGAATTAGTCTGTAAAAATTATTAATTTTTAATGTTCAGTTGTTTTGTTGTAATGTTGTTAATATTTTTGTTTTTGATGAAAGAAGATCTTTTTGTCTTTTCGTTAGAACTTCACCAACAACTTCCAGACGGCTAAAGAAGCTCTGAGTGCTGCCACGGCTCAGGCGGCGGAGAAGGCGGCATCCAGTGTTCGAGACTTCGCCCAGAAGAGTTTCCGTCTGTCCATGGACATCAAGCTGAAGGCTCCGCTCATCATCATCCCCCAGTCCTCCACCTCCCATGATGCACTTGTGATGGACCTGGGTCTGATCACAGTGGGAAATAGCTTCTCTCTGCTGCCCGTTGATGGATGTCCACTGCCGGTCGTCATCGACAACATGGACGTCCAGCTGACACACCTCAAACTCTCCAGGTCAGTCAGTAGGTTCACATTCTGCCGTGGTCCTGCCAGATGCCTCCTGCTGCTGCTGCCATCATTAGTCATTAGTCATACTTCTACTGTTATTATACACATATGACTATTGTCACACATGTATACTGCCAGATATTAATACATACTTTCAACATATTGTACCACAGTAGCCAGAACTATAACTATAATATTATTACTTTCATTAATGTTGTTGTAAGCTACTGTCATTACCGTCTGTCCTGCATCTCTCTGTCTCTCTGTCTCTCTGTCTCTGTCTCTGTCTCTCTCTCTCTGTCTCTGTCTCTGTCTCTCTGTCTCTGTCTGTCTCTCTGTTTCTGTCTCTGTCTCTCTCTCTCTCTCTGTCTCTCTCTCTCTCTCTGTCTCATTGTGTCATATGGATTACTGTTAATTTATTATGCTGATCTGTTCTGTACGACATCTATTGCACGTCTGTCCGTCCTGGAAGAGGGATCCCTCCTCAGTTGCTCTTCCTGAGGTTTCTACCGTTTTTTTGGGGAGTTTTTCCTGATCAGCTGTGAGGGTCATAAGGACAGAGGGATGTTGTATGCTGTAAAGCCCCATGAGGCAAATTGTGATTTGTGATATTGGGCTTTATAAATAAAATTGATTGATTGATTGATTCAAAGATCAATGTCGAGGTGATCATGTTCTTCTTGTCCCTGTAAGACGAGTTCAGAAGCTAAAGGAATAGTACTGCACACATCTTTTTTTATAGTTCTGATATTAACAGGAGAAATTAAATGTTCCCGTGGTCACTTTATAAACAAACCACTTGTGATGTCACTCAGTCTGTTGTTGTCTGTCAGGACCTGTATGGATCCAGCGACTGGTCGACCCACGATGGAGCTGCTGGAACCAGTAAACCTGCACCTGAACATCAAGAGGAACCTGGCAGCTTCCTGGTACAAGAAGATGGTCGCTGTGGAGATCGATGGAGATCTGAAGCCCATGAAGGTAGGAGGAGTAGGAGTAGGAGTAAGAGGAGGAGGAGGAGGAGAGGAAGAGGAGGAGGAGGAAAAGGAGGAGCAGGAGCAGATATTATAACACACCTTCTGTTAGCGTATATAGGGTCCTTGATTGATAAGAGACCTGAGTTAAAGCCTCTCTGTTTGTAACTCCTCTGTTCTTGTTTCTGTAACCAGTCGTCGTGTCCTCCAGCGAAGGTACAGTTTGTTCTGTGTTAGATCTGCAGCTGTAGTTGGTGACAGTTTCCTGCTCTGCCATCTTTATGTAACAGGTTTATTTGTGTCAGACCGAGTCTCGTCTCTGAAACTTCAGATTGCTGTGATTAATTAAGGCTGATTAAATGTTTTTTTCATTGTGTTTGTGATTAGAGATAGAACCCTCCACGACCACCACCACCACCGCCACCCTGTGATCTGTGATCATGTACACAGATGTCCACTCAGGTGGCGTCCAGATTTCTGACATCAGTGTAAAATAATTCGGCCCAGTCTGATAAACCTGCAGAGATCACTGAGCTGTGTCACTGCAAATCAGATCATTGTTGTTACAGACACAAGTGATCACAGAGGAAGTTAGAGCCGTAGCTACAGGCTAGGCTAGCAGTTTCCCCTGCTTTCTGTCTTTATGCTAAGCTAGGCTAACCAGAGATGTGTAGTGGAACCTGTGCACAGAAACAGGACGGTTCTACTCAGACGTCACATCTGGAGGTGTTTGTGTCTGCAGGTGGAGCTGAGTCAGGATGACTTGAAGGTGCTGCTGAGGATCCTGATGGAGAACCTTGGAGAGGCTGGCGGTCTGGAGCCCAGCACCCCCAGACAAGAGGCCGGAGTTCAGCTCCGAGCAGCAGGAGGCCCCCCTACAGGTCTCTACATGTTCATACAGAATTACATCCACCTTCACAGAGGGTCACTCTGTGATCAGCAGGTCTGAGGTCAGGTCTCTGGTGTCAGTGGTTTCAGCTCTCTTGATCCGTGTGTTCTGAGTTCAGGTGATGTCGGGAAAGCAGCTGTAAGCAGCGATGAAGAGGAGGACAAAGCTCTGGAGACCCTGAAGTTTAATTTCAGCATTGAGTCTCTCAGTCTGGTTCTGTACGGCAGTGACTTCAAACAGGTCAGTCTTACTCCTGGATGTGGGTTCTCTCAGTGTTCTCGGAGGTTCTGTCTGTGGTTCCTTATGATCTACCAAGAATCCATCAAAGGCTGATGGAGCAGTTGGTCCAGGATCAGCTGGTCTGTGATCAGTTGGTCCAGGATCAGCTGGTGCAGGATCAGCTGGTTCAGGATCAACAGGTTTTGGATCAGCTGGTGCAGGATCAGCTGGTTCAGGATCAGCAGGTTTTGGATAAGCTGGTGCAGGATCAGCTGGTTCAGTATCAGCTGGTTTTGGATCAGCTGGTTCAGGATCATCCGGTTTGGGATCAGCTGGTTCAGGATCAGCTGGTGCAGGATCAGCTGGTCTGTGATCAGTTGATCCAGGATCAGTTGGTCCTTGATCAGTTGGTCCAGGATCAGCTCTCTGGTTGCTGGATTTTGTGTCTGATGGAGGTTTGTGGTCCCTGCAGCCATCAGACCTGCAGCACCAGGAAAACCTCAGACTGGGAGAGTTTGCCCTCCACCTGTTGAAGGCTTCAGGGCGGATCTGGACCAATGGCAGCATGGAGGTGACCACAGTGCTGGGCGCCTGCACGCTGGACGACCTGAGGACGGGCATGGAGAGGGTGACGTCACGGTAACAGTCACATGATCTCTGGTTTCTCTCACCAGTGTTCGGACGGACGCTGAAGAAGAAGAAAGAAACTATTCTTCTACAGCTGGATGTTGGGCTGCGGTCAAAAAGTCCCTCCTATCGTCTTTTCCTAACCACTTTTCCTTGACCTCAATGGAAAATGTCACAAGGTCAAGGGAAGATGTGAGGGAGAATTCATAAAGACTTAGGAAAAGACAACTGCGGTGCTGAGAGAATCCGACTGCACTTACACTGGGCTACGTAGTGATGCGACGGCGGATATTATTGACGTGGGTCTGCTGTGGTGAAACTACAGTGTTCTGAAGATGGACTACAAAAAGCGCGTCTTAGATAATGCGCCCCGTACGTTCTCATCGTGTTGATTCATGCAGGAAATATAAACGTAGACAACACGGCAAAAGATATTATTTAATTACTAAGGTCGGAATTGAATTAAAAAAAGGAGTATAGGCTGCCAGCCACAAACTGAAACAAAAAAAATTTAAAAGAGGGCACTGAGTTTGCAAACCTAAGTAGTAAAATTAATTAATGATATTACTGAAGACCGTAAATGTGCACAGCGTCTCTCTTTATGGGGAAACGTGCTTATTGTTTCTGCGGGGTGGGGGGTGGGGTGGGGTGCTCGCTGCAGGTATTTAATAACCTCAGGCAGATATCTGTTAACGTTACAGTCTTTGGTATTTTTGTTATGATCCTTCCACTGTAGCTCTGCAGGGAAACACTGTACAGGGGAATACAAAGTGGGAAGCAGTAACTTCATTGATTATTTAAATCTCCAGATACGCCAAGTATATGCACATTTACACACGAGGCACAGCAACATTACTTCATTGATTATCTATCTATTTTTTAGATTCAGTTTTATTTATATAGTGCCAAATCACAACAAAAGTCATCTCAGGGCACTTTACGCACGAAAATCGGAAAATTAAAATAATGCATTGTATATTCGTATATTTGTTTATCCTGTTACACAGCAAGTTAAACAAAGCTGTGAACGGAGGGTACACCAATAGTAGCGAAACGTTCATAGTTCGCGTCTAAGTTTAACATAATGTTGAAAATTCAAAACATATAGCATATGAACAAGTTATGGCCTGAGATGTATAATGCTTCATACAACGGTAACTTACATGGTGATCTCCTTCCTTTCTTAGTCATGTTGATCTTTTTCTTTCCTAATCATTTGAGTTTGTGAATGGTGCGTCGCTTGGTCACTTTAAATATTGCCACCGCAAGGACTTGTGGGACGGAATAATCTCCTTTCCTTTCGTAAAGGATGGTCCAGTGTACCCTATGCTAAAGGAGATTAGAGAGGAAGCATTGAAGCACCTTTCCTTGAAATTTAGAGAATTCGACCAGCTCTTATCATGACTGCCACCATGGCTGCCACTTACTTCCAGGTCATTTCACTCAGTTAGGAACCTTCCTAAGCAAAAAGACTGTTTGACCGCAGCCTCCGTCTGACTCCAGACTGGTGCCTGTGCTGCCCCCTAGTGGTTCCTCCACCATCTGCTGATGAGAACACAGGAAGTTTTACTGCAGCGGACAGGACCCACTGCAGTAAAACTTGTTTTAACCCTCACAAACACTTTAACAATGTCGTTTGATGTTTGATCTGTGACTGTTTACTGTGACACAAATATCAGGAGGTTTCTATGTGACACCTGTGAACCTGTGGCTGTTTAATCAAACTAATGATGTGCTGACTCACCTGAACTCCACCTGTTGTAACGGCAGGATGGTCGGCCGCAGAGATGAGGACAGCCCTGAGGCCATGATCGATGTGACGTATCGACAGAGCGCCGCAGAGCGGGAGGTGGTAGCTGTTCTGCAGAAACTCTACCTCTGTGCCAGCGTGGAGTTTCTGATGGCCGTGGCAGATTTCTTTCTGCAGGCTCTGCCGCAGAGTTCAACCACGACCACTGCCGGTGCCACACAGAGTGACAGGCTGCCGCTGAGACAGACCACTGAGCCACGAGCCGACAACAAGACCGGTGAGAACGACAGGTCGAAACCCCTGAGGTCAAATAAAGTCAAGGAGGCGTCACGTTTTCAGGTTGTCTGTAGGTAGGGTTGGGATCTGGATCCGGTTCTTTTTTGGAACCGGGTCCAAAGTTCCGGTTCCGGAACCGGTTCCATACATATGGCGTAACAGTTCCTGCAAACGGTTCCTAGATTGTAAAAAAACCAACCAACAAAAAAAAAACAAAAACCGTCACGTGCATTTCCATTAGAGTGCGGCACGGGCCGCATATTTCTGTCCGAACCCCACCGAGCCCGACATTATCCAATCACTAAAGCACTGAGTTTGTGTCACACAGTTGTCATGGTTACAGGCTATTTAACAGGCCGGGTGTGCACCGTGGGTGCTCAGCGGAGAGTGAGACCTCCGTGTTTGAGACGTGAGCGGGCGACGGGAGGTCCGATGCTTCCAGCGAGGGGAGAGGGGGAAATATAACAAAATAAGATAAAATAGGAGACACCTGTCTCCCTCTTTTATTTTCAGCGTTTAATCAAGGCGGAGGCGGGCGGCGGAGCGTCCGACGCTTCCAGTGAGGGGAGAGGGAGAAATATAACAAAATAAGATAAAATAGGAGACACCTGTCTCCCTCTTTTATTTTCAGCGTTTAATCAAGGCGGAGGCGGGCGGCGGAGGGTCCGACGCTTCCAGCGAGGGGAGAGGTAGAAACAAACAGCCAATGTGTGTCTGTGCGTGTTCTGTTCAGGTGTTGTCACGTAAATAACAGTGCCCAAGCATGAATGCATAAGTATTTTTTATTACATTGTTGTGGTTAATTTTAATAGTGTTACTGTAGAAATCAGAGAATCACTTTTTGTTGTTATATATTCTCAGGGAGATGATACAAGCTCTAAATCTGAAATACACACCACACACAAATGTGTATTTTCATCTAATTGTACTGTGCAACAGTTAGAAGAAAGTTTTTGTATTTGTATGATTGCATTTGTGTTTATTATATACT